TAGAAAGATATGGTCTGTAGTTCCCATTCTGGCCAACCAGACCATCCATCTTTTCACGTTAGTCAACAAATGCTAATCTGGAAAGACTTGGAACATTAATACTCCAAATATACCGTTCAAATACCGATACGATTGTGGATACGAGTGGAATGCGTGGCGCATTCCAAGTAAGATTAGTAAAGATAACGCTGATCGCACCGCTGTCATCCGGACTGTTATGCGACTTCAACTTATAGGTTCTTTTCGACCAGTTTCTAGGAATTTTTAGATGAGGCATTTAGCGTAAGGAGGTGAGGGGAGTAGCTGAGAGAGGATTTACTTCTTCATTGGCAAGTGAAGTAAAGAACTAGTAAAGACTAATTAGTAAGGAGTTAGATTGTTGTCGTGAAAGCGTGTGTCGTCGGTGATTTGTATGCCATATGCAGCCACATGCCACTACCTCCCTCTCGCAGTTCGTCGTTGTGACAAGCGAAAAACGAACTCAGTCAAGCGCATTATAACGCCGTGTGTCCCTCTCAGCACCATGAGCACATATAATCGGATTCACTTGGAATAGAATGAATTTGTCAACCTTAAGAAATAAGTACAGCTTCTCGGGAGAAAACAGAAGTAAGTAATATACATGTTTAACTAAAGTGTGACCTGCGGAAAGATGTCGCCCTCACCCCTGACCCTCCTCTTGTATTCCTTTTCCAGATTTTTCTCTTGCAAAACGCTGCGAAGATAAGTTGTAAAGTGACCTCACGAGGTGAGTGGAAGTTTTTATAGAGTCGGCTTAATGTTTCGACTGATTCGTCGTCTTCGGAGACGCAGGGTTCCACCTCCAAAGCGGCAAAATCCGCTACCACCTTTAAGCGTTAGTAGATAACAAGCAGATGAAGGTCTCTGAGTTTTTCACTCGATTATTTGGTGCATTCGTAGGTGCGCTAATTATTTTTTGGTGCCACTAAAGTCAAAACCCATACAAATGCGATGCACTGACGAATTACAGCAGAGCAAATGGCGGGGCTTTGCCTTGAGGGTGAGGAGCAGAGAAGACGGGAGACCTTCGAAGGACTCACTGTGTAGAGTTGGGACTGCTTTGGCGCGAAGTCTCGTTTTAACCCAATGAGTTTCGCTTACCCTCCCTAGAGCTCCTTCGCTCCTCTGACTGCGCAAAAATCCTCATATCCTTTAGCGTTCTTTCGAAGCAGCTTCTAATACGAGCAGGGCCGAAATGACTAGTATACAGGGGGGGAGCAAAAAAAGACACTTTGGACGAGTCTTATATCTGTAAAATTTACACAACCAAGACACAAAACGTGGATACGAGTACCAGGCGGAAGATACCCAAGATGTTGCTCGATGGGCAGCAGGAGCAGGCCCTCGTGCATCACCGTCGCGTACACAAAAATATGGAGTCATCTCTAGTCGCAACCGGACTGGAGAAGGCCTATGGAGTTCACGTGATCTCCAAACGGCTGCGAAACGTCGTGTATGGAGACACCCATGTACAGCTACCTGGAGACCAGACTCTTGATCTGGAAGACCTCCAACATCGAGCAGCTACGACAACGTCGCTACGGTCCGCTATCGTCTTCACCGCAGTCGCCAAGGCGCGGGTTGATGGTATGAACCGAAACTTCCTGGAATAAGAAGACCAATATTTTCTTCGTATATTCGTGAACCCCGGACTGGAAGTGAACGCTGACGGTTACATCGACCAACTCGAGTATATCCTGCCTTCATCTTATCACCCGTACATCATGGAAACTTCGTACTGCTACAGGACCGGGTGCCAGCACATGGAATCGAAGAGCATTGAGTACCTGAAGAAGACGGAATTGCAAGTGTATCACCTAACCTAAACCTCCTCGATTACCGGGTGCGGGCGGAGTTCAACAGGGATATTTGCAGTGGCGGAGAGATCAACGACCTCGCTGAACCCGGGCACCGAATCAAGGTCGCGTGTCAAAAATCACGATGGCGCTCGTCCAGAAGAAGGCTGTGGCGGAGTATCGCCATAGTGAACAATATGTTGTTGAATATGATGGTGGGGATGTCCAATCAGAATCCAATAAAATGTGACTTATATCATCGAGAGTCGAGGAAAAAAATGGTCTTTTTGGTTCCCCCTGTAAGTGGTAGAAAACCATGACGTTTTCGCCGTTAATCGGTCCCTTAAGACCCAGCACGCAGTCTGCTTCCATTCGGAATCGTAAAAGCTTATTGAATGCGATGTGCCCTATACAAAGACTTGCCGAGCCCGCTGATGTACAAGTCATGCTCTTATTCTCCCAGACAAGCCTGGTACCAATTTGGCGTCAGGAGTTTGAAGGCTTGGCTAGTCGGGGGGGGGGGACTGATCAGGAAACTGCTGATAGCGCGCGCGATAACTTGCCTGCTCACTATTAGCATTGTCGTTTAGTCATACAAGTAATGGATAGTAGAATCTTAAGAGAGTAAGCGGATAGAAAGGGCAATTAGCCATTGCAGCCTTTCAGGAGACTTCTTGTTCTCTCTATGCCCTCTAATTGTGTTGTTTTTCGTATAAATGCCGAGACAACCAACAGCAAACGTCCTTGTTTGTCAAGCAGAATTGACAACCACTTGGCTTCGAGAATTCTATTACAGATGTCACTTAACCTAGTGTGTGTTCCATGCCTGCATGCCGTTTTTTTAGGGACTAATATAAGTCTTTAAGGATAGGTTTTCCGATGTGCCTTATTCTATTAAGTATGGAATTTTCTATCTCTGTTGTGATGTGCTGTATCTTTACTATACTCGTGTTTTTTGCTTTTTGTCCAACTTTTGATTATTCAAAACGGAGTGTCGGGGTCGGGCACAACTGAGAGTTTATGACACTACCTTTTCGCAACTCAATCTGTGCTCTCAAACTGCAGTACCAGATCAAATCTGTGGGTATTTACGACTAAGGTGCGGTGGCTGCCTTGGATGACTCAATGGCATAATCCACGATGATTTGGTAATCTTCTAAATATGCTAGCAATGTGTTATATAGTGAAAAAATGGCGAAAGTGATGGGTGAAACGGTTTAAAGTCTTCGAAAATATCCTTCGCTCCAACGACTCAGCGATTTCGGCACGAGTTTCCGCTGGCGTCGAACAATAACCGCTGCGGTACATACGACTGCATATATGTGCTCATCTATCCATACAGGCCCGCACCCGACTTCAATATCGATCCTTTCGCTTCTTATCGTACATCGCAAAATGAAGGCATATCGGGCATCAGCACGGTCGCACTTTTGTGGGCGGGCGGGCGCGGTGGGTGTGCAGGTCGGGATGATGTAGTTTGTTAGGGCTCTAAGAGGGCGTCTTTACTGGAAGGTGACGCACACAGCGTCTGCTACGGAGCGCTGAAATACTTGCTAGTGCCTATATAATTTACACTTTCTGATTATATTTGTCATGTCAGCTTGCCTTATAGATAGGCTTCCAATGTATCTAGCAAGACTAAAGACTGCATAATTCTAGGTCACGCGCTTGGTTTGAACAAAATTCTTTCATTTCTTCATCAACATGTATTCACTCAATCCATGTACCACTTCCTTTTTTTACGGTACTCTTGACAGATGTTCATAAATTTCAGCTTACTCATCAAGTGAATGAGCGTTTCAAGTCCTCATCACGTGCTTTACCTTCAAAAGACGTGGGGTGCCAAACGTCATTAGAAAATTAAAAGCATTTCAGACTTATCCACCAAAAAAGTTAAAGACGTCGAAATCTATGACGTTTGAGAAGTGTGACGGAAGTGCTGAGGCAATTAAAGGTGTCTCCATGACATATAAGCTCAACAAAGAAGAGGTTACGATCTGGTTGGGCCGGGGGGGGGGGTGGAGGGTGGGGAGGGGGTGGTTAGAGTGCGTTGAAATGATTGCTATCATTGATTGGACTCGCAAGGGAGTCTCTGATTGGCTGCACAACCAGGATCAGCCACTAGGTCGTGAAACGTTACCGTTGCCAGTTGGTACGCCCCCCTCGTTCAGTGGCTATCAATATGATCGTCTTGTTTCTAGAGTACTGGAGCTACGTGTTGATGATTGGTCTACTCTAAGAATCCCTAAGATGCGGTGGGCGTGGCGTCTTACTTGAACGGAACGTGGCGACGATTAACACTTTCGCGAAATTTTTCATTTCAAAGCAATTGTAATCATGCCTTCATCCAACACAGAAGAGTGGCAGTTGTCTCAAAATGAACTATTCCATGAACAACCAGTCTAACCCTGTGCGAATGCCGCACCTACTCCGTCACAGGAATAAAGAGGTTATGTATAGCCCACTCGCCTTCCACTGAATTTCGTTTTCTCTGGAAAGCATTTAACGTCGTCTGCAAAAAGCCTTTTGCAGAAAAGTGGGCGGGATTTGTGAAGAGGGGAGAGGATCTACCATTGACAGTCGTATAGCTTGCAGTAACGCGAGAAATTCCTTTGCAAAGACAGCTTTTGACCTTTCAACTTACACGAGGTCGTCCAGACATTACTTGAAGTTAAAACCTTCATGAAATCAGAAACTAAAAGATTTCTGCTTTTCGAATAATGGCGCTAGAGGAGTATAGGTCTACCAGCGAAAACATGCAGACTGCTGGTAGAGAGTATTGGGCGACAGGAGGGTACAGCTGTTTGTTGTCCTCTTATCGCGCCATGCTCTCTACCAGCAGTTTGTTACCAGTAGAATCTGGCGGACGCTAGATCGATACCCATACTTCCCTAGCCCTCGAGATGCTGCTAGATGCGGTGGACGCTGGCAAACGGTGGCAGACGTTAGATCGATATCTATACATTCCTGGTCGCTGACGCTGCCGTACATTCGAAACGCTGGTGGACGCTATTGGTCGCTGGTTGACGCTGCCGTCTTGGTAATGTGTAGCTTTTATAATCAAAAACGAATTTTATTATATTATAATTATATAAACAATCTCGTATTTATACTCCTAAAGGCACCACACATCAGAGGTGATGTGGATCGTTCTCCTACTAATTCCTCTGCTCTCCTGATTCTTCATGATGCTGCCAGCGCTACGTCGAGATGCTTCACAACCATGGCGAAAATTTCGTCGACGGTTCCTTGCGCCTTGATCTGAAAGTACAAGCATTTGCTCATAACAAAGTATGCTCGAATAAAAGTTTTGACTCCGAGTATTACTATAAAGGTAGCGCATTAAAGGCAGATGGCACGATAAATCGTTATACAGGTGTAGGATTTGTACAACTGGCTTAACAGAATTCCGTGACCTCGGACAGGCGCTGCGTGAAGCCTTTTACAAGGAGGCTACCTCTATAACGCCCTATTGAGCAACAACTTTACGCCCCAAACGCCTTCCTTGCCCGCCCGTCCACAAACGGACGACCTTTTCTAACGCTCGTATTCATTCATTTGCTGAGCAAATTATGAAGCAGAGGGATTAGTATGAAGCGGCGGTGATGCTGCATGCATAAATGGGTACATATATGCAGCCGCACCTTCAGTAGCGGTGTTTGGCAAGATGCGTACGGGAAACTCGTCCGAAATCGACCTACAAGTCACTGAGAACGGAGGCTTTTTCTTCGCCGGATTTTGTCCGTTTCACTGCGTTCTTTCGCCATTTTCCCACTATACAGCGCCCTACTAGCATTTTAGGCTAAGTAGGAAACCATCGTGCCAACTGCCTTTAATCTAAGGAAACTCCAAAAGGGTTTTTTCAGGTCGTAAACCCAATTTCAACACGGTTTGTTGCATTCATTAAAGACATTCCCTGCGTCTAAACGATTTCTAGGCCCCTTTTTTGTCCAAGTAGTCTGGCCCGCAGTCTCTAAGACGGTCCTTTGCGGCTTCGCTGTATGAAACGAAGGCGCTGCGAACCCCGTAAGTGGCAGTTTTGACGCCTCCGTGGTTGCTCCGCAAAAAAAACTCAAAGCTCGTTTCCTGTCAGGAGCCCTGTATTTGCACCGCGTTTTTCGTCTTTTTTTTTCTTATTCAGATGCTAATGGCACTGGATGACGCGAAAAAAAAACCATGAGTGAGCTACACGCGACAGGATGTCGCTTTGCTGGCACGAAACGAACAGGTTCGGAGAGTTCGTCCAGAGAGCCTGCGAGCACGTTACTTAGAGTGCTCTCTATGATTTTTTTTTGCTTTTTTTCTTCCCTGGAGAGTCACTTAGCGACTATAGGCTTGTAATTGAACGCTATCCAAAATACGCCATCGCGGGGTTTCTCTTTAATGGTGCATGTGGGGACCACGAAAATGTAGATCGTTTTGCCGTGACTTTGGAGACTCCAAGCAGAGAGAAGGAAGTAGAAGTAAGCTACACTTCTATGGTCACCGTGTAGACCCCTACAACATGCAACAAACCGTTTCCGAAATGTGCTCTATGACCCGAAAAACTCCCTTGCATGTTCAATATACCCCTTTCTAGACAATGACTGAAGGTATGACCTTTAACAGTGAAACTCACTTGTACGAGCTTTTTCTTTTTTTGATAATACTCAACAACTGGAGCAGTAGCGTTCGAGAACGTCTTCAATCGTTTCTTGATCGTTTCTATGTTGTCATCGGCACGTCCACTGCAACCATGGGCAAATTTTAGCGGATTTTAACTGTTACGATTGCACAGTTACTAATAGAGATGCCCTACACCGTTTAAGTCGCTTGCCTGAGTGGCATGTGGCTGACCAAATGAAGCCGACCACAGCTAGCTATCACAGTCATAAAGCTTCTTCATGCTTTGCGACAGCCTACCAGCGCCCACGAGCGTTTCGAGAGGCCGGCAGCGTCAGCGACTAAGAAAGTATAGATACTGATCTAGCGTCTGCCAGCATCCGCCAATGCCTCGAGAGCTATTTAAGCATAGGTATCTATCTAGCGTTTGCCAGCGTTCACCAGCGACTGGGAGTAGAGAGCATGGGGAAGTAGGACGGCAACAAAGAGCTGGACTAGGCGTTGCGAAATTGCGGCGTGGCAACCACACCGTACAACTGCTACCTTATAGAATCATGCAATTTGATGTACAATGTAATGTACTTGTACGGTGCGACTGCACATGCCGCCGCCATTTCACGACGCCCAATCCAGCTGTTTGCTACCCTCCTACTTCCCCACACTCTCTACCTAGGTCGCTGGTGAACGCTGGCGGACGCTAGATCCATATCTATACTTTCCTAATTGCTGACGCAGCAGGAAACTCGGAACGCTAGTGGACGCTGGTAGACGCTGCCGAACGCTGGCGCAAAGTATGAACGTAGCCTAACATGTCCAGCGACTCAGTCAGCTTTAGCGCAATTTATCGCGACCACTACCAAACGCGAAAACTCAGTACTCGGTGAGGTTTCACCTTGTTTGTGCTCGATGCAGTAGTCGTTCCACCATTACGTTTTCGGATACGTCGAAAAAGATTACTAACTTGGCTTCTTGAATCTAAACGCAAATGTTACTACAGTGTACCAGAGGATGAATTTTTATGTTTTGAAGAATACTTCGTGAACTTATGAATATTACTTCTTTCTCGAATTGCTCGCCTTGTTTCACCTCTCTAGGGTAACCGTCTATCAAGAATCCTTTACAGTGCTTTGCAACATCTTTAAGCATTGCTTCCTTGATCAAATCTAGTACAATTTCCTAAATGAGAGCAACAATTCTAGTTTAAATTCGACACTGAACTGAACGAAAATCTTCACTTACTAAAGGAACCAGTTCTCCAGCTTCCATAATTTGATTGAGCTTCGTGCCTCTGACTGAACCGGATTTCACCTAAAATATCATTTATCACTATAGAATCCTATAGAATCAATCAGTGCACTACTGATCCGCGCAAACGATAGGGCGCCTACGGGCGTGGAATGGCGCTACCAGCGGCCCTCCAGTTCACGCCCAGCCTTGCACGACGGCTGCGTATTGGTTTGCAGGGATCATTACTGCACAAACGGCAGTCTGGGCTACTTTGAAAATTCGTTGAACTCTTTCATCTACCTCATCCCTGAGCAAATCTCCAGAAGAAAGATGTGACAGGCCGTATTTCGCGACAATTTTCTCACACTGCGTGCCTTTTCCAGAACCCGGACCTCCTGAAAACAAATAAGTTAAAAATGCAAAAGCTTACTGGTACAACATCTACTACGGAGACCACCTAGTGAGATTTTACGGTACAGAGCACTATAAATTCTAGAACACCTCTAGGCACCATCGATATTGCAGCTTTGCAGATGCCTTGACCTGCCAAAACATCAAAACAAAAACTTTCGCAAGACGGTTCTCTACATTCTCACGCGACAGGCCCATTACAAATCCCCTAGACCTCACTGAAAACCCCGCCCCAGATAGCCACGCTCCTTTTTTCCAGCGAATATTTACACCTTACACATAATTTATAGTGGAGCTAGTTTTTTTTCCTGCACAATTTCACTCATCACACATACATTGCTGAACTTTCATGTAACGATACAGTTGGTCTCGACCCGAAGGCTCCGCCCACTCATTAAAAGGACCATTGAAGATTTCGCCGCACTATAGTTTTATTCACCGACATCGTTTTCCAGTGATCTTTCCACATTTCTAATGTACAGTGTCGTGTAGGTCTATGAGTTCCTTCTAAGAACATTGTGTGGGACGCTTTTCGTTAGATATTTCAGTTTGAGGCAACTGCCATACTATCTTGTGCTCGACGAAGACGTCTTCGCAAATGTCCCAAATTATGGTATCTCACCGAAAGAGCAACCAGCTTCGCGTTCAAATGAAGCAAGCGGATCGACCTCCCTGTTTCAACCTTCAACAAATCCTTCATCCTAGCCCGTAATTATTTATAAAAGGCGCACTTACCAACAATAAAAATTATCGGGACGTTCGCTTTCTTCAGAGGGGTGAGGTCAATCGTTTTTCTCTCCAGAGTCACTGGAGCTGCCCTGCAACAAGAGAATTCGCAACAGTACGAAAACACTGAGCATTAGTTACAAAGAATTGTGGAATCTTGACAATAATTCACTACCATATCAAGTTTGGAAAAGCTTTGTCAAATTTACGAGATAACTAACTACTTTCATAGAAACTTTGTAGATCAAAGTTTAGATTCATCTAATGGTCTTAAGCCACCATCCCTGCGAATGATAGGGCGTGAGAGGGGACGATTGAAACACAGCCAGATCAGCCTTTCCAGCCAGTCACCACGGGCACGGAATGGCATCATTGGTGTTAACGGCCATGGCAGTGTCCCAGCAAACGCTCGGTCATATATCTTGTCTATGTAGGAATTATCACTGAACGACTGTTGTGCGACTAATCCTAGAAGACTCAGTCCTGAAGGATGTTCGGTCCCTAACCTTCCGTTTCCGAAAAATCCGTGGAAGCAGCTAGAACGAGCCAAGCCTTCCAATTTGTACTAGTAACCAGTTAACGAGTTGGTACGGAAGAAGACGAAGAACACCTGGTTCCGTGCCCACCTCTTTGATTTCGCCGTCCTCTCTATCAAACTCACGCATCGGACTCTACGAATGCAAGATGATAATTCGAGGATGAGGACCACACCTATTACCGACTACCGACTGGATGCCCCAGGATGTCAAAATCCTGGACATTTGCTTCGCAACTTGCCTCTTATGGATACCGATTTAGTAGCGGCTATCAGAACCTGATGGATCTACTATATACGCAAGGCCCAACAAGCAGTAAAGTTAATCTTGGCGATGTGAACCACCAGAAGGCATGTTCCGCGGCATTCGGACGCTCGAGATGGTACTCATAGGGCCGGAAAATGAAGCATGCTCTAAAAGGGCATCCTGTGTTGCCTCCAATACGCGGGGCGTCACATGCCCCATGGCATACAGTGATCGCCACTGTACTTTTCATGATTTCTTTTTTGGTTTTTTTGATCCCTTGTTAATTGACCATGATGGTGTCACTGATACCATCATAGTCAATTGATACCTATTTCCCTATTTTTTTAGAAAGACTTCTTGATAATGTTTTGTTTGAGGTTTGCGGTCGCTTGAATTTACGGCCCTGTTCGCTGCGAATAGTATCAGGGGAGGGGTGAGTTTGGCGCGACGCCAGCCAGTCTCCACCAATTGTGAGAGCTAGTAGGCGACCATAAGTAAAGGCAGTTGGCACGATAAATCCTCCAAAACGAGTAGGACTAATACGCCTGGCAGGACGGAATTTCGCGACCCTGAGCGGGCGCTGCATAATGCCTTTTCCAAGAGGTGACCTTATAAGGACCCTATCAAGCCACAACCTTCCGACCCAAACGCCCGCCACGCCCACCCGCTCACAAATGGACGACCGTTTCTGACACTCGTATTCATTCATTTGCTGAGCAAATTATGAAGCGAAAGGACTGGTATAGCACCCGTGATGCTGCATGGATACATAAGTACACATGTGCAGCCGTACCTTCGGTAGCGGTTATTGGCCAAACGGTTACGGAAACTCGTCCAAAATTGATTACTAAATAACACAGTGAGAATGGAACATCTTTTTTCGCAGGATTTTGATCATTTCACTCCGTTCTTTTGCCATTTCCCCTCTATATAGCGCCCTACTAGCATTTTGGGCCGAGCATCAAATCATCGTGCCAACTGCCTTCAAAGGAATACTGGCTGCCGCCAAGCCAAGCACAGCCCCCTGGAACGCTCCAGTACCTTCGGGAACAAGACTGATCGCCGTAATTTCGCAGCTTGACTGTCAAACAGCGACGACCTGTGATTGTATACTCATCCACTCTCTACTTAACTTGTAATGAAGTATCCATAAAATAATGACCTCTATCCGAAATGGTGAATGGCCCCAGACATGTGCGGCCACTCCATACCGTTTTTTGCACTACTTCACATTATTTGGTGGCTCTATACGTTCTCTGCAGCGGACCAAATTATCGTGCCACATCTTTAAAGCGATATGTCTGGCGAGTTTTTGTTTACTTTCTCTTTTTTCTTTTTTTCTAAATGTTCTCATTCCCTGATATTTAAAAAATTTCAAAAATGCGCTGACCTGTACACAAGAATAGAAGTGATAGCATTGCAGCGGCAAATAATTTGTCCTGAGTTACTTGGAGGTTTTTATGACTGGATATTATTATTTATTATTACTGTTATTATTGTATTACTATAATGAATATTATTCGCCTTTTCGAAACTTCTAAAAAAACTTTTTCAAAGTAGTATCATAAGAGCCATTTAAGAAAACGTAAGCTCGAAGAAACCGTTTACTTCTTCTCGATTAATTTATCCAGATGTTGTACGACAACGGCAAAGATCTCTTCGATGGTGCCTTGGGCTTTGATCTGAAATAAGCCACTAAAGCACTGCTTGTGACCAATTAAGGTAACGCTCCTTGCTCGCGACGCGAGCGATTCCCAAAATGCGCAAGTGTAACTGACAGCGCTCCAGTGCTAATCGTTGGACTGCTGCGAGTGCAAAACTAATCACAGTAGCAATCAGCGGTCCAGCAATCAACGGTAGGGCGCGTCGTGCGACTTTATCAACCGTGTCGCAAGCTATGCGCAGCTGATTGAGAGTGATACCATACCCTAATAAGCTTCTTCTTCTTTTCGTAGTAGTCGACCACAGGAGCAGTAGCAGTTGTGAAGGTCTTCAACCGTTTCTTAATAGTTTCCATGTTGTCGTCAGCTCGTCCACTATAATTTGTGACTACATTGTGGTCAAACAAGTCAAGGTGCCGGAAATGGGGAGGTTCTGGTGTTTGGTGGGATATTGTCAATCTGGGACAATTGTAAACGTGTTTTTATCGAGCGCAGGGCGAGGTGTCAGCTGCATAAAATGGAAAGCGCAACCTCCGCCACGTTTAGATGAAGTACGAAGTAACGCCCTCCCCAACTCCGGGATATGGAATGCAGTTACCAGCATGATTCTCGTCTGGCATATCGTCTTCACATACCTCGTCTTAGCTCTGTGCATTAGCCGTTGTACCAAGATATCCTCGGGTACATCGAAAAAGATGACTGATTTCGCTTCTTGTATCTAAATAGAGAACAGATTTGCCTGAAATAAGTCAACTTTGCTCAACAAGAGTCTCATCTAACCTCACGTTCGAATTGCTCTCCTTGCTTCACTTCTCGTGGATAGCCATCAATGAGGAACCCTTTGGAACCCTTTGATACTGCTTTGAGCATCGCTTCTTTGATGAGATCAAGCACAACTTCCTGAATCGATCAGAGGAAGAAGTAAACGGAAGATTTGTGGTAGGATTTCCAGAATTCATTTACCAGAGGAACCAGTTCCCCAGCTTCCATTATTTTCGTGAGCGCTGCCCCTCTGGGAGATCCCGATTTGACCTGAAATCTATAGCACATCTGTGGACAAGGAGGAATAATCTCAGGTAGTGCAAGTTGGGTAGGTGCTGAGGTAAAAAGCACCTACCAAGCATGCACCGGTGTGCACAGCACATTCCGCGGGGTTGGGCTACGTTCATACTTTGCGGTAGCGTTCACCGGCGTCTACCAGCGACCACTAGCATTCCTAGCGTCCGCAGCGTCAGCGACTTCTGAAGTACACATATCGATCTAGCCTTTGCTAGCGTCTGCCAGCGTCCACCAGTGACCGGGAGTAGAGAGTATGGGGAAATGCGATGGTAGCAAACAGCTGGATTATGCGTCGTGAAATTTCGACGCGGGCAACCGCACCGCACACTTGAACTGAACTGTACATTGAACTGTATTTTTCTGTGATTTAGCAGCAATGCGGTGCAGTTGCCCATGCCACACGACGCCTAATCCAACCGTTTGCTACCCTCCTAGTTCCCACTCTCTACGTCCGGTCGCTGGTGAACCCTGGTAGACGCTGGCAGACGCTACATCTATATTCATGATTCTTTAATCGCTAACGCTGCCAAACGGTGGGAACGCTAGTGGACGCTAGTAAACGCAGGTATACGCTGGTGGACGTTGCCGCAAAGTATAAACGCAGCCTCACTTCACTAGTAACAATTCTGCGTGTCTAAACAAGTAGCTAGAAAAACATTGTGCCGCGATTACTATGCTGGAACGAAAATCAACTGCCTAGCACAGTGCGGAAGAGCTGATCAACTCACCTCATCTCTCAGCAAGTCTCCAGATGAAAGATGAGACAAACCATATTTTGCAACAATTTTTTCGCATTGCGTTCCTTTCCCAGAGCCAGGACCACCTCAAAAGTGTAGGACCGAGAAATCAATAAGTAAAAGCGGTGTTCCCCGAATAGCAGCACAAATTTACCGACGATAAAGAATATAGGGACGTTGGCCTTCTTTAATGGCGCTAAGTCGATGTGCTTCCTTTCCACAGCTAACTTATCTGATCTGCAATATTTGGACATACGTTGAAAATAGCATTTAAGCAAAAGATTATACAAAATAATCTACTTTGGAAGATAGAGCTAAGTGATCTGGTATGATGGCTTTGTCAAGATAAGGAGTAGGTCACAATGTTGCCTCGTTTCCTGAACCTCCTGCTACGGTGGGGGATCGGGAGATCTACATTGTAGCAAATCGCAGCAACTAACTAGTAATTCCTAGTTAACTAGACATACTGCATACTGTAAAATTTCCATGCTTGACCGTAGGGTCCCGCAGCGAATGTAACGTCACTTGCAGCGCCGCTTTGGCCACCACGCGGTTAGAAGACCTCCCGAACTGCACCCTGCACCACTCTATACCCCAGGCATGGAGGAGAGGTAGAGTGGCTGTGTTTTCTTTTATCCGTCTAGACATGGTGAACACGCCTTTTTTGTGCGATACTTCCATTTAAGACAACTGTCATCCTGTCCTGTACTGCACAATGACATGATTTCAATTGTCTGAAATGGCAACATTCCACCAAAAACGCAGCCACCACCACGTCCGATCGAAGAGTGCACCCAAACCCTTCCCACTTTCGGGATATGGAGTGTAATTACACCCAAAAGCTGAAATAACGAAACAATAACTCACGGTATTAATTTGTCGAGATTTTTCTGAACCTCCGCAAATATTTCATCTATTGTCCCCTGAGCTTTTATCTGAAAATGGGTGACCAAAATAGAGAACGGGCATCAGATTTTTGCAAAAAGTGACCTACCCTAATGAGCTTCTTCTTCTTCTCGTAGTAGTCTACTACTGGAGCAGTGGCAGTGGTGAAGGTCTTCAGTCGCTTTTTGATTGTCTCCATGTTATCATCAGCTCGCCCACTGCAACTCGTGAATACATCTTAGTGGGTGTCTAATTGATGAAATAAATGAATAAATAATGTTAGGCGTTCAGACGCTTCATAAGAGCTTCGACCTATTTTTGATTTTGAGCGATTTCGACGAACCTTGTTTTAGCTCTATGCATAAGTCGCTGAACCAGGATGTCATCCGATGACATCGAAAAAGATGACCATTTCGCCTATTGGGATCTGAAGAAATTCAGAAAACCAACTAAAAGACGGAACTGGTAAATTCATGAAAGAGTCGAGCAAACTCACCTCCCTCTCAAAACTTTTCCCTTGCTTCACCTCTCAGTGGGTAGCCCATCAATAAGAAGCCTTGGAACCTTTTAGCAACTTCTTTCAGCATCCCTTCTCTTGACTTGAGACTCAAGGTCAACCTCCTGAATGACTGTAGACAACATTAACGGCCAGCCACATTAAGGTAAAGTGGATTCATTTACATGGAACCAGTTCGCCAGCTTCCATGATTTTGGTGAGCTTTGCCCTACTGGGAGTCCTGATTTGGACTGGAATCAATGACAGTGCCTAAGGACAAGGTAAGGAATGACCTAAGAACTAGCTCAGTATTATACAATGCCAAGAAATAGCTGGGAAAACACTCTACCTCAGGCAAATCATCCAGACGACGATAGATGAGGACAAACATTTTTTGCCGACAATTTTTTACACACTGCGCTCCCTGTCAGGAGCCAGGAGCCGGCCTAAAGCTGTCTGAGCTCAGAACCCCTATGTGCAAGCAGATTTAAATAGCAGTTCAGATTCACCAACGATGAAGAATATAGGGACGTTGGCTTTCTTCAATGGAGCTAAGTCGATAGGCTTCCTATCCACTGCCAATTTATCTGATCTACAAAAATTTGACATCAGTGAACATTATAGGTGCAAGATTTTGAGTATAAATCCTTTCAAAAAAGAGCTACATTTTTTTCCCGTTAGACACCTATCTTGAGGACAAACTGTCGGCCACCTGTCAAGAGGATTCTTCCAAAGTGCATGTGAATAGGCCGTAGCTATACCACACTCAGGAGGACTCAGGAAACAAGGCTGGGGCGTAATGATACCCGGTTGTCGTATCACCGCTCGTGCTAACTCAAGGTGCAACAAATGCGTCAATACCGGAATTCCGCAGGAAACACAGTGATATGTACAGAACAATTAGAAGAGAGTGGGTGCAGATAAGTGTCGTGTTTTAGCAACTGTAAGACGTGCGGCTGGTGCGACGGGTGGAGTATGGAAACCGCACCCGGAAATCACTACCCTCTGTTCCGTGTATTTTCGAGCAGAAGTGGCACGTCAGTGCCCCTGCATATGAAGAATGACCAGGATCCACGGAGGTAAGTGTACAGTTTGTCTTCAAGGTAAGGCGCGTTCATACTTTGCGTCTACGTCCACAGCGATCACCAGCGTACAGGAACGTTCTCGTGAGCAGTTTTGCTCAAGCTCAAAGGTGCCTGCGAAAACGCTGCCGTACGCTAGTGGACGCTGGCGTTCGCTGGACCGATACCTATACCTCCACAGTCCCTCGAGACGCTGGTGTGAACTCCAAACGCCGGTGGTCGCTGACGGACGCTAACGCAAAACATGAACGCAGCCTAACTAGCGAAGGTCGTCAGGTCGAAGTGGCCATTTGTGATGAGATGTAGATAATTAGATGTGGTTTCGGACGCTAATCTTGAATTTGCCTTCAAGTTTGCAAAGCGATTCTCTGAACGGAGTTATGGAGCCGCGTTTACCTTGCAACTGGTCATGGGATCGGATCCCTGCTGAGCTTAACTTTTTTGCTTTTTGCGCAAACGTGGCAAAAAGTGATTCTGCCTTCACTACTACTTCAGTACTCACCTGAGCTTGTCTGAAGAAAAGTTTGCCTCCATTTATTACTGCGCTTGACTCCTTGTAAAATACAGTGCACTACAGTGCTTCTACAATCCCATGACCTGTTGCGTGGTAAACGTAACTCCATAACTCCGTTCAGAGAATCGCTTTGCAAATTTTGAAGGCAGATTCAAGATCAGCGTCCAAAACCACGTCTAGTGATCTACATCTCATCAAAAATGGCACTTCGACCTGACGATCTCTAGGTAGTCAGGTCGAAGTGGCGAAGTTGAGGTCGGTATGTAGTAGGCGGTCGCGATGTTTGCTAGGCGATTAGAGAAAAGCGACTTCTGCTCGGTACGAGATCAAGTCGGCTCCCCATCTCCGGAATGTGGAATGTAGGTACGCAAAAAAATCAACGTTTAACGAAACAGTAGCTTACGGTACTAATTTGTCGAGATGTTTCTGAACTTCCGCAAAAATTTCATCTACTGTCCCATGAGCTTTGATCTGAAAATGGGTGATCAAAATAGAACAGGCAGCAATGATTATTGTGGAAAGTGACTCACTCGAATCAGCTTCTTCTTCTTCTCGTAGTAGTCTACTACTGGAGCAGTGGCAGTGGTGAAGGTCTTCAGTCGCTTTTTGATTGTCTCAATGTTATCATCAGCTCGCCCACTACAACTCATGACTACACCGTGATAGATAATTAAATAAATAAGCCGTTCAAGTGCCTTGATCGACTTATTTACAGTCTTGTTCGCTGCGGATGCAGGTTCCTATTAAGGGTGGAGCTGAGTTCGGCACGGCAATTGGTGGAAAACAGATTGCCGCCTCGCCAGACATAGCCCCTGACACGCCCCAGCATCTACAGCAAAAGAACAATATACTGTTTTAACGAATTTTGATGAACCTGGTTTTAGCTCTATGCAGGAGTCGCTGAACCAGGATCTCATCCGACACATCGAAAAAGATAACCGATTTTGCCTCTTGAATCTGGAGAAGTCAGAAAGTAATTACAGACAAATCGATGCTGACTGTTATAAAGGAAATGGTCTAACTCACTTCTCTCTCAAACTGTTCTCCTTGCTTTACCTCTCGAGGGTAGCCATCGATTAAAAAGCCTTTGGAACCTTTAGCAACTTCTTTCAGCATCGCTTCTTTGATGAGATCAAGAACCACTTCCTAAATTAGCCAGAGGACAATGTGAACGGTAACACAAAATGATGAGGAAACACTTAGGAAACACTTACTAGAGGGACCAGTTCCCCAGCTTCCATTATCTTATTGAGCTTTGCTCCTCTAGGAGATCCCGATTTGACCTGAAATCTATGGCACATAGAGGAAATTTGATGATGAATGACGAAAATTCATTCAATTTGCGCGGTAATTCGAAAGTTCACTTTCATGGGTAGTGGTGCACTGGTCATTTGCTAGAGTGAACGCCTGGCCTACGAAGAACAGCTCGAAGGCGCATTTCACGAAAGCACAAAGTGAGCAGTTGAGCACAAATATGGCAAGAGGTCCTATAAGGGGAATGGTGAGCAAAAAGGATATATTGCTCATGGCCTGGAACACCAAGTTTATGTGGTAGACGGCGCTTTGATAGGCTCAAGAAAAACTACACAGTATTGCGCCAGCCTAAAGCAGCAGCGTAATTCTGATGATCGAATCACTTGGGTACAGAATCCTGAAGGCTGTCGCTCCGATGGTGGAAGATACCAGCCGTCCAGCTGTTTGGACCAGTATGCTCCGAGTTCTGATTGTTTTTTTTTGGTTTGACGCCGCAATAGTCAGGGGCAATACCACGCATGTCTATCTGACGAATTCTGAAGACACGGTGCCTCAGGCATATATTCGGAGGGTCCATATCTCATCACACTCGCTTCTATGACGGGTTCCATAAGCAGTGTGCACCCGCCCCCTCCATTGGATGCTGGAATTGAGGCTTCTGGTTGAGGAAAGAATTGAGAGGGTCACAAGCTTCGAAAGCCCTCCTTTACAGTCAATTTTGATCATGCGGAAAAGATGCACGAAACGCAAGCAGGAGGCGGGCGAGACCACTGTGCTCCCAGCTACTCCGGTCCTGGGTATATTCCAAATAAAATGCGTCTTGGAACATAGGCCGTGAGGCTTACCGACTTCGCTTCTCTAATAGTGTTGTAACTCTTTAGGGTCGCAACTATGATTTATCATCTGTAGCAGCAAATGTATCGAACCTATACATAGAAGGAACTGAATCAGCTGATGGAGAAATGCGCCTTCAAGAACATTCTCATAAGGCTGCCTTCACACTTTGCGGCAGCGTCCACTCCAATAGCACAAGCGACTAGGAAGGTATAGATCGATCTAGCGCCTACCATCGTCTATCAGCGTCCACCAATGAGCAGCAACAGACTGCTGGTAGAAAGCATGGGGCAACAGCAGGGTAGCGGCTGTCTGCTACCCTCCTATCGCACCACACTCTCTACCAGCTGTCTGCTACCCTCCTATCGCCCACACTCTCCACTCCCAGAAGCTGCTGGTCGCTGGTAAACGCTGGCAGACGCTGGATCGATACCTGTACTTCCCAAGCCCTCGAGACGCTGCCTGGTCGTTGGTGAACGCCGGCAGACGCTAGATCGATATCTGTGCTTTTCTAGTCACTGACGCTGCCGGACGCTCGGAGCGCTGGTGGATGCCATTGGTCGGTGAACGCTGCCTGAGAGCTGCCAGCGTGCATGGCAATTAAAAAAGCCTTCAAGCAGATGTTCATAGAGCGACGAGCGTGCTTGACAATTGAAGTTCAAGTCAGTAGTAAACCAATAACTCGTCATCAATGAAGCCACTCGCGCGTGTCAGCAGGGTATTGGTGCGCGACGCCAGCACCGATTGGCTTCGGTCGTTCAATGCGTGTTGGGAGAAGGCTTTTGCCGTGCTGGAACCCACGCGCTTTTGACACGTGTCCAAACACTTCATTGATAACGACTGTATGTAGTTTCCATATAAGGAAGTCAATCAAACGTACTTCATCTCTCAGCAGATCACCCGATGAAAGATGAGATAAGCCGTACTTTTCAACGATCTTTTCACACTGCGTTCCTTTCCCTGAGCCAGGACCACCTGAAATAGTGAGATCGAAGGCAGAGGTTCTGCCGGATTTGAATGGAACTGTTCGTCATTTCCACTGGTGAATCCTTTCAGTTCCTACAACCTAGAGGTCATCCACCAATGGGAATAGCGGACAGTCACTCCGCAAGCCCAGGAATACTTCTGTGTTCAGAACAATGTAACTGCACTTCTAAGCCGCATAAGTAATCAATTTAGGCTTACCAACGATGAAGAATATGGGGACGTTGGCCTTCTTCAGCGGAGTCAAGTCTATCGATTTCCGTTCCACAGCAGCATCCGACCTATAAGAACTATTGCTATCATGCGAATTATTTACCCTTGCTGATCTACAGTATCCACTATGAACAGCCAATCGCCACTATCGGAGTTCAGCAAGGGCGTTTAGGTAATGGTTGCATTTCCGTGGCGGCTCCCACTCTTTTATGCACACGTCTCCTTCATCAGGACCATAGCCTCTCGCAGCAACGCCTCTTGTTGCTCTGTGGTAAAGATTGCATACACATGGGAGCTACTCCTACTGTCACAATCCAGTTTAAAAGCGAGCATAAAGATCAAAATTTCGCAGAGAACTTGAGACTATGCGCGTACAAAGACGGCAACAACTGAGCTATCCGGTCATCTGCAGGAGGTGTAGGATAGACTATTGAAACAGGGAATCAATTCAAGATTCACTCACTTTGGAATTAGCTTGTCCAAGTGCTGCTGAACTGCGGTGAATATTTCGTCAATGGTTCCATGAGCTTTGATCTGGAATTACAAATTGCTTCAATAAAATGTGAAGTCACGGTTATAGAAATACGTTTTAAGACATAAGGCAGCGTTCAGACTTCGCGACGGGGGCGGTTTGGTCGCACGCTCGACGCGATCGATGCGCATCGATCGCGCCGGATATGCAACGCGAAGTTTGAACGCTAACCATAGTACAAGAAAAACGATGCGTGACAGATAAATACACCCCATATCCCGGAGCTGGGAAGGGCTTGGCTGCGCACTTCATTTGGACGTAGCGGAGGTGCGCATTCCGTGCAATACTGTCGTTCTGGGATTAATGTAGGAACATATTTGTTTAGTACGAGACACGATGACACTTGTCTCAAATGGGAATATTTCGCGAAAAATGCACTTGATGCCGTGTTCCAGAAAAAATGATTACATGTTCTTTTCCGGAACACGCCCTCCCCATCTCCGAGATACGGAGAGTGGCTGAAGAGTAACTGAAGACAAATGTACTGGGTGGAGAAATGCAGGAATATGGGAGCTCTTCGAAGTACCCCTCTAGATTGATAAGGCAACGTTTCACTAGGGTTGCATTCATGAAATTCAAGGCGACATCACGCGGGAAACAGCCTGCCATAGCTAGTTGACTCAACCCGCCAGATGGAATGCGTTCCGTGCTTGCTTTATCCCGCAAAGAAATGTGACACGGGCAGAGGAAGTACCTCAGAAAAATCATCACAAGTTGTCACTTGCTGGGAAAGGCAGCCGAAAGCGGGCTCATTCCATCACCCCTCCCCCCCCCCTACCCCGCACACTTCAGCCTACCCTCCTGATAGCAGCCGATTGGTTGCAACTATAAGTAGTTTGGCGCATTTACTTGGCCACTGACCCGTTAAAACATGTCAGACACACATACTTCATACATCTAGATAGTGCAACGTGTACGAAAGCCAAGGGCAATGTGATCGCGCCAAATCGCAACAGTTTTCCGCGCCATGGGACGAGATCTATGAGGCGGTTTGAGTCAAGTAGCTAGGATAAAATGATTCACATGCAATGCAGTGCCTAGAATGTGATGGACTGCACCCTTCAGCCTATGCCCTACGATAAACTGAACCGGCAGCATTCCCTACAATGACCCGAATCTATAGACACCGAACTAAAGCACCACTCACAGAACATACTGTGACCGATACAAGTCAAGTGAACAAGCATGGCTACATAAACCAAGTTTAACTCACCCTAATAAGCTTCTTCTTCTTCTCGTAATAGTCTACAACTGGAGCGGTGGCATTTGTGAAAGTCTTCAGACGCTTCTTAATAGTTTCCATATTGTCATCAGCACGACCACTACAACTTATTATATGTAGCGACTAACTAATTGTAAAAAAAACAAGTAAGTAATTAACCTAGTCTTAGCTCGATGAAGAAGTCGTTGTACCAGAATATCTTCCGCAACATCAAAATATATGACTGACTTTGCCTCTTGAATCTGAAATCATATGACATGGTAGTCCGTTGGCTATTTGGCAAAGAAAACCTACCTCACGTTCGAACTGTTCGCCTTGTTTCACTTCTCGAGGATAGCCATCAATAAGGAATCCTCTGGAACCCTTGGCAACTTCTTTTAACATTGCCTCTTTGATCAGATCCAAAACAACCTCCTGCAGAAAATGATGAAATGAAAAGAATAGCGCTGAAAAAAGGCGAGTTGCTAACTCACGAGAGGAACCAGTTCTCCTGCTTCCATGATTTTGTTGAGCTGTGCTCCCCTTGGTGAGCCTGATTTGACCTAAATTTCTGAATATTGACGTGACATGCTATGCTGGGCGATAAGTCTCTTCACACAGGGTACAATGAGTTATATCTGGGGTTTCTACCTTGCGACACTAGCGATTCCCGGATCGCACCTCTGTAACCGACCGCACTCCACTGCTAATCGTTGTACCGACGTAACGGCTAATTCACTTTCAGGAAACAACTTATTTCACTGCTTAAGCGGTTTATAGATAAGCTGTGTAGCGCGATCAATCGCTGTCGCGCGATTTCAAAATCGCGATCTCGCTAAGTATGAACGGAGCCGAACAGCGAAACGACTCAGTCGGAAAGTGGAACAAGAATCTATCATTATCCAAAATAATAGTACATAGCAGAGGATCAGAAAAGACTGATAATTCACTCCACTGTATACTAGTTAAGTTGCTGGAATTACCTCATCCCTTAGAAGATCTCCAGACGATAGGTGAGATAAGCCATACCTGGCCACGATCTTCTCGCATTGTGTTCCTTTTCCGGAGCCTGGGCCACCTAAACAAAATTACCTTGAACGCTAGCGCGAAAACTCCATTATCACAATCAACGGCACGACAGTGGGTAGGAACGTACATAAGGCGGAGAAATCAGGACTGTTCTCTCGAGAGGAGGGCGCAGACGAAACAACCTAGTAATTCACACTCACCGACAATGAAGAATATCGGCACATTTGCTTTCTTCAAAGGCCCCAAATCAATAGACTTCCTCTGGATGGGTAGCAGATCTGGCCTATAAAAGTAACTAGCAGGAGTAACAGGTAGGACTCCGATGAAACTCTACTCTGTAGTAACGACAGGTCAATTTGGTAAAATATTACGCTGGTAATAAAATCGGACGATTAAACCCTCGAAGCAATCGTTAAGCCCTGGAAGCAATCGTCATCTTTTGAGCCTGGAAGACGGCGTTCGCGTTATGATCCCCCGACTAGACATCAAGCTATGGTACGAGGTCTTCAAGACCGATAAATTCATCACGTAGTGATAGGAAGATATGCGCTATGTGACTTGGGAGGGGCCATCGTGTAGCTAGGCTAAGCTAGGTCTTGTTTTAACGGCACAAAACAACGTGAGGCTAATTGGCTGAGAGGGTGACATGTTTCGACGCTGACTAAGCCACAGCAGAACAGACACGCTGTCTCAGTACGAGGGTACAGGCGAGCAGGCATGACATGACCCATACGTGATTAATATTCCCGGATTACTGAACACCGTAAGATAAAGTAAGGGTATTTTTAGACCCAGACTACCACTAATTATTCGCTACGGTATCTAAAAAAAGGTGGGAATTAGTTGGCGAAATCAGCGACCACCAGCACCACTTCCGCTCTTTTCTCTCATTCTCGTCGGTGCAGACCTTGCGACGATTCCTAGGTGAATGGGCCTGCAGCTGCAGCAGCGTGTCACTTTCTCGTTCAGGAGTGCGTGGGAACGAGGCTGAGGGTAGTAATAGCCGGGTGTCGTCTCCTGGCATGCTCGCGCTATTCTCATGTGTAGCACTTCGTTGATACCAAATCCCACAGCGAACACAGAGTACCGTAGAGAACGGCCAGAAATGAGAGCGCTTAGACAACAAGCGCGCTTGGCTACAGATAGGCATATGGCTAGTGGTGCGGCAGCGTGGGTGGAGTCGGGAGACGACACCCGGGTACCACACTTTCTAGCCCACCTCCCGGATGCTTTTGAGTGGAGAAAGTGGCAGCTGCTGAGAGTACAGACTCTCTAATGAACTCTCGTACAGTGACAATATAAAGGAAGGAACGAAGGGGGTGAGCACTTACTTTGCCGCTGGGACATGTTTGTCCAGATGTTGACAGACTACGGTGAAGATTTCGTCGACTGTGCCATCTGCTTTGATCTAAAACAGTAGAATGCCGAGCAGTAGGGTAACAGAGAACACAAAACCAACGGACCCTGATCAGCTTCTTCTTCTTTTCATAATAGTCCACAACTGGAGCGGTGGCATTTGTGAAAGTCTTCAGACGCTTCTTAATAGTTTCCATATTGTCATCAGCACGACCACTGCAACTTTTGATATGTAGCGACTAGCGATTAAAAAAACAAGCGAGTAGTTAACCTAGTCTTAGCTCGATGAAGAAGTCGTTGTACCAGAATATCTTCAGCAACATCGAAATATATGACTGACTTTGCCTCTTGAATCTGAAACATCGTATGACATGGTAGTCCGTTGGCAATTTGCCAATAAAAAACCTACCTCACGTTCGAACTGCTCGCCTTGTTTCACTTCTCGAGGATAGCCATCAATAAGAAACCCTTTGGAACCTCTGGCAACTTCTTTTAGCATTGCCTCTTTAATCAGGTCCAAAACAATCTCCTGCAGAAAGTGATGAAATGACAAGAATACCGCTCAAAAAATGTGTGGGCCGCTAACTCACGAGAGGAACCAATTCTCCTGCTTCCATAATTTTATTGAGCTGTGCTCCTCTTGGTGAGCCCGATTTGACCTAAATTTTTGAATATTGACGTGAAAGGCTATGTTGGATGCTATAAGCTCCATCAAAAGGGGTACAATCAGATATATCTCGTACTCCCACCTTGCGACACTAGCGCTTCCCACACCGCGCCTGTGCAGTGCAACCGACCGCGCTCCACTGCTAATTGTTGGACCGACGTAAGCTGACTCACTTTCAGGGAACAACCACTTCACTGCTACAGCGGTTTATAGATAAGTAGTATGGCGCGATCGGTCGCTGCCGCGTGATTTAGGAATCGCTGTGTCGCTAAGTATAAACGGAGCCGAACAGCGAAATGACTCGGTCGGAAAGTGGAACAAGAATTCATCATTATTCGAAATATAGGTACATAGGAATTAGAAAAGACTGAGAATTCAATACACTGTATACTAGTTAAATTGCTGGATTACCTCATCCCTTAGAAGATCTCCAGACGATAGGTGAGATAAGCCATACCTGGCCACGATCTTCTCGCATTGCGTTCCTTTTCCGGAGCCTGGGCCACCTAAACAAAATTATTTCGAACGCTAGCGCAAAAACTCCATTATCACAATCAACGGCACGACAGTGAGCAGAAACGTAAATAAGGCCGAGAAATCAGGACTGTTCTCTCGAGAGGAGGGCGCAGACGAAACAACCTAGTAATTCAAACTCACCGACAATGAAGAATATCGGCACATTTGCTTTCTTCAAAGGCCCCAAGTCAATAGATTTTCTCTGGATGGGCAGCAAATCGGGCCTGTAAAAACGACCATCATTAGCCAAGTGCAACTTTCGATAAAGCCCTACTCTGTAGTAACGGCAGGTTGATTTGGCAAACATAAGGCTGGCAATAAAATTGAACCACTAACGTGACTTCGACGCAATCGTCATGCTGTGAGCATGGAAGATGAGAATCGCGTTATGATCTACCCAACTAAACATCGCCCTACGCTGTTAGTTCTTTGAGACTTACACCACAAATTCGACACATACAATTCATCGCTTAAGTCATACGAAGGGAGGCTCTATGTGGCTTGCGAGGGGTCACCATATAGTCCCACCCGTCGACGAAACGCCATGAGGCTTAGCCAGGCCATGTTTTAGCGCTAAAAACCACGTCAGGCCATTTGGCATGTTTCGACGCTGACTAAGCCACAGCGGAACACGACGCTGTCTCAGTGAAAAGGTACAGACGAGCAGAGATGACATGACTCATCCCCGATAAATATTTCCGCATTACTGAACACCGTAAGATAAAGTATGGATATTTCTAGACCCAGGCTACCACTAGTTTGTTCGCTATGGTATCCAAAAAAAAGATGGGAATTTTAGTTGGTCAAATCAGCAGCTACTTCCAGCACCATTTCCCGAGCTCTTTTCTCTCATTCTCGTCGGTGCAGACCTTGCGACAATTACTAGGTGAATGGGCCTGCAGCTGCAGTCGCGTGTCACTTTCTCCGCTCAAGAGTGCGTGGGAACGACGCTGAGGTTAGTGATAGCCGGGTGTCGTCTCCTGAAATGCTCGCGCTATTCTCATGTGTGGCACTTCGTTGATACCAAATCCCACAGCGAACACAGAGTACTGTAGAGAACGGCCAGAAATGTGAGCGCTTAGACAAGAAGTGCGTCTGGCTACAGATAGGCATATGGCTAGTGGTGCGGCAGCGTGGGTGGAGTCGGGAGACCACACCCGGGTACCACACTTTCTAGCCCACCTCCCGGATGCTTTTGAGTGGAGAAAGTGGCAGCTGCGTGAGAGTACAGACCTCTGATGAACTCCCGTACAGGGACAGTCTAAAGGAAGGAGCTAAGGGGATGAGCACTTACTTTGCCGCTGGGACATGTTTGTCCAGATGTTGACAGACTACGGTGAAGATTTCGTCGACCGTACCATCCGCTTTAATCTAAAACAGTAGAATGCCAAGCAGTAGGGTAACAGGGAACACAAAACCAACGGACCCTGATCAGCTTCTTCTTCTTTTCATAATAGCTAACCACTGGTGCGGTGGCCGTGGTGAAGGTTTTCAAACGCTTCTTGATAGTCTCCATATTATCATCAGCACGTCCACTGGAACTTACAATTTGTGATAAAAGTTAATAACTACAGCTGCTATGAGAGCAAGATACCTGGTCTTTGCCCTCCCTAGAAGTCTTTTCACGAGGATGTCTTCCGCCACATCGAAAAAGATAACACTTTTTGCCTCTTGGATCTGAACGGTGAAGAACAAGCATTAGCAAACAACGGCGCAAACGTAGTTGGGAATATCATTCAGCCGCGCTTCTGTCTCCTTCCCCTTAAAAGGCTTAGGCTTAGAGTGCAGACGACCAGAGTCACCGATGTAGTCTTGCTGAGAAGACATGATCTCCACTAAGCGTAAGCCTTGATACGGAAAGGAACACAAGAGAGCTGCCTAAGAGTCCCCCTCTCTCCGCTACACTGTCTAACCTAGAGCCGGAGTGGGCGTGGCTGCGTTCTTCGGAAGTTGCGACGGCCAACCTTTATTCGGGTGCTGCTTCGGGACATTGATGATCAAGTCCTTGCCCATCATGACAGCTGTCCCACATAGAAACATCCCGTGGACAACGCATCGCACGCTATCAGTGTAGTACGCAGCCACGTCCTCTCCACCTCCAAGATATGATGGACACGCTAGTGCCCAAACATCATCGCAGTTGAAGCTATCAAGTTTAGCCGAGAGAGTAGTGCGCAATCACAGTCTTCGTCGGGATTGGTTCGATAAGTTGCGAAATGATATTGATTGGTTCGTTTAACTGCCCGCACGCATGACTGGCTTGCACTAGCCGTCTCAATGGCATGTAAGAGGATTATGAGCTGTGTCAATCTTGCCTCACGCTCAAATTGCTCTCCCTGCTTCACGTCACGCGGATAGCCATCGACTAAAAATCCTTTCGAGCCTTTAGCAACTTCTTTGAGCATGGCTTCCTTTACTAAATCCAATACGACCTCCTAAAAACAGCCAAAAATCTAGTATAATAAAACAAGGGAAATTCGAGAATATCTACTTACTAGTGGAACCAATTCGCCGGCCTTCATGATCTTATCGAGTTTCGCACCTCTCGGTGAGCCAGATTTGACCTGAAAGGATAATTTTTGAAATGAAACTATAGACCACAGTGCTCATAGAGGAGAAATTCTGCCAGCTTTCCTTCAGAAATTGTGGCCCACCATCTCATCTCCCGTTAGAACAGTGGAAGAAAAGACGAAAAGCGACCATTCCTAACAATAAGAACGGCTTGGCTCACATAGTCTGCCGACAATTCAAAAAGCGCTCAAGTGTGGAGTTTTTGAACGTGCTCTGCTGACAGGCGTGGACGGCGTAAAGGGGTGTAAAGCATCAGTCCCGCAACGAAAGCAACCGTAGTACCACCTGTACAAGAGTCAAAAGGAAATAGTATCGTCAGTAGAAAACATAACAACTGACCTCATCTCTAAGAAGATCTCCCGATGAGAGATGTGAAAGACCATATTTCGCGACAATTTTTTCACACTGGGTTCCTTTCCCAGAACCTGGTCCACCTGGAAGGATACAATTGATTTTCAAAGCAGGACACTTAGGCACAAATTATTCTGATAGATGAAAAGAATTTACCGACGATGAAGAATATGGGGACATTCGCCTTCTTCAACGGAGTAAGATCAATCTTCTTCCTGTCCATCAGCTGAGGCTACAAAGAAACTTACCTACTGAGGTATTTTTAAGGATTCAAAGAAATATGATACTTACAAATCAGTCAGGGCGTAGGAAAACGAGCCTGAAAAGCATACATTATCATACGCAACGTATTATCGAGCGAAAAAGCAGAATACAAGACATCACAGAAAAAAGGACGTGCGACGATGACGTCATCGTACTAGCGCGCGGTTTAACGCTATGTAGAGTAAATGATAGAAAATAACAATGTTTCCAGAGTAAGAACAGTCAAGTACGAAGTTCCATAAAAGAAAAGCACTGAAGGACAATGTTATTCATTCTTTCTATATTTACCTCTTTTTTGAGTGTATAAGGCGCACTCGCTTGCAAAGCCGCACAGCCGCACGCGACAAAGCGCGCGAGAAATTTCTGGACACAGCGGCGTCCCTTCGGCCGTTTCCGTTCCAAAACGCGGCGTCTCTCTGCGAGTCTACACCTCGGCGACTCCAGTCGTCTTTGCTCTAGACCTCAGCCTTGCTTCATTCTCGAGCGGCAAGGCGGAGGCTCTGTGGATTTAGTATCTGGTACTGTTTTTGTTCATCATGCACTATTAACCCACTGCCCTGACGCCCGAATTCAGGTCAGTTCTGAGCGGCTTTTCTCTACGAGGACAGACTCGGCTGAAAATTTGTCTCCGGAGATAGTTGACCTCCTGAGAACGAATATCATATCCGCTTGGCCCGAATCCGCTTGAGATTGCGGGCTAAGCCAACGAAGCGGACTCGCGCCGCCGCCCCATGAGCCTAGGGGGTTGGCGAGACAATGGTGGTTGTCTAGGTAACAGGCGAAACAGAACATGTGTGCTTTGGAGTGTTTTCCTTTTCTAGTCCTTTGTTTTTTTCTGGTTCTAATTAGCGCTCGCGTCACAGGCGCCGGCCCAAGTTCGCTAAAAACTTGTCCTAAGAGGCAAGTTGTCCTCTAAAATACGAATATTTATCTGCGAAGGGGTGTGAAGAAGCGAAGGATGGGATGAAGGAGGTCACGTGATATAGTGCAGCCTGCTTCTGCTCGCCTGCTCCCTCGCCCCTAGATAGCGATTCCCTTTCTCTGTCAAGGCTGAGCCTTATGTGAGTAATCAGTCGGCCGCGGCCTCAGTCGGCCGCCGGCCTCAGCCGAGCTCATTCTGATACGGCCCCAACTTCGTCGCTTACCCTTTTTCTGCATGTTTATACAGCTCTCATCATTGCGGACCGGTGGGCGTGTCAGCCAGAAGGAGTGCGCACACTGTTGAAGCCGTTCTCAGCCTTTTTTGTTGCAGCGCGTATGCGACAAAAAGTGGTAGAAAACGGGTTTTTACGAAGGATATAATACAGTATTGCACTGTGCCCCTTCAAAAACTGGTGCAGAACGACTTTGCCAAACCGCACCACACGGCAGCCCGCACTGCCACGCCCCACCGGTCCGCAATGATGAGGACTGTACCTAACTAGTATCCGGCTCCTCTTATCATAACAGATGGTCAACGCTCCTTGGTCAAATAACGCTGGGGTATGCGGCAAGAGAATCGTAATTCGGATCGCGGCTGCCGTCGCGCGCCTGCAAATGACGGTGGCTCCAGGTAGCAGATGGCGACAACAGCAATTCAGAACCGAAAACAGTCATGAATGTTCACAATGACGGGGTCTGCCATAAGTCCGGTGCTCCAGACAGGTTAACAGGAGCTCAAGAAACCCCGCTCCCATCGCCGTGCGCGGCGGAGCGGCAAATTACGATTCTCTTGCCCGTCTCCCATAGCGCTGTACCTGCTATTTTCAACACCGTTGTGAATGCGGCACGCTCAGCCCACCGTGAGAGGTTCTCAATACACCAAAGCGAAACAGTTCTCGTAGTATGCTGCCCTTCTCCAGCGATTTTATTTTTGAGCCTTCAAGGTCACATAGGCCGAATTATGAAATTTTCGTAGCAAGCGCCGCCACCTCGGTTACGCCCCGCCCATTTTCAGGACATTTTTTTAACTTTTGTCCGCTCACTCGCCCACAATAAGCGTGTTTATCTCACTCCAATATTCGAGCTCTTGCATAACTCTTGGTCACCTTTTGCCGGTGCCTGGGGGTGCTATTGGAACTGTTCTACTTTTCTAAGTTTCGATCACCTCGCTGCATCGCTCCCCCCACCAGGATGTACCTCTCACCCGATGACCACTCATTATAATACACCCTGCAATTGGGGTGCTTTGGGACGTTTTACTATGTTTCAATTTTCGCTCCGCCTACAATAGAAGTGCCTCACACCTCTCAACCGGTGACCGCTCACCATGTTTGAGGGTACCAGCACACCAGATATGATAGGCATGAAATCTATCTTCGCCATGGACTTATTTGCGATCCCTGAATTTTCTCGAGAACCGAACCACTGAATTTCGTGGGAAGCACTGCCCATCTCAAGTACGCTTCGTTCATTCAGGGTGAGTCCCCTCCATTTGGTCTGCCGAAGCTTTGGTGACCTCATCTAACCTTTTTCTCATCTCGGAGCGAGGCGAATTGTTAATATTTTCCTGACACCGGAAGCAGCAGTCATCTCGTGTGCACCCCGGCCACTTCAGCTGTGTCTCCTCCATTTGGTCTGCCAACCCTTTGCTAACCTTATTCCCCTTTTCTCCCCTTCTCGAAGCTCTCTAGAGCCGAATTATGAATTTTTCAGCGAGACTGCTGATTTCGGCGCATGCCCCACCTCCTGCGGGCGGGATTCAGCATGGCTTACGGATGCTCTTCATATCTTGTTCCATGCCCTATCAATCCTGACCTTGACCTCTCCAAATGGCTCTTCAGGTAGAAGCGAATTTTTCAGACAAACAAGCAAACAAACACAAACAGACGTAGCAAATTCTACACAGGGGATGATAAAGAAAAGATCACTATAACAGGCGACCAGAATGAGTACTGGCGGTTTCAAATCAGATGAGTGTGACATATGTTTTCAGGAAATCGAACTATTTCTGGGAACAATGTGTCAGCAAATGTGGTGATTTGGCCTATTTTGTCGCCGGTACCTGTGACACGTTTAAGCGGTTTCAAGCTAAGAAGATGTTATCACGAGGTGAAACTGTTCCTGGAGACGAATAGACAAATATTTAGTCGAACCTGCCCTCTGAGAAGAAATCCGATCAAAACTCAAATCAAATCTTCATCAACAGATCAAACTCACCTGATTCGGGATGGTTTTAGGGGGTGAGTGGTAAGGCTGCGTTCATAGTTTGCGGCAGCGTAGCGTAGCGCTTCCAGCGTACGCCAGCGGCAGGGTCGGGGAAAGGATAGATATCGATCTAGCGTTCCTAGCGTCACCAGCGTACGCTAGCGTAACGCCAGCGTAGCGAAGGCACGGGAACCATAGCTATTGATCTATCGCTCCCAGCGTTTCACGAGCGTTTCACTAGCGGTTGCTAGCGTTTGCAGCGGCGGTAGTGAAACGCTGAATTGATAGCCATCCTTCCCGTGCCCCCGCTACGACTGCGTTACACTAGCGTACGTTGGCGCAACGCTAGAATAACCTAGCGTCGTGCTAGCGTACGCTAGTGACGCTGGGAACGCTAGATCGATATCTATCCTTTCCCCGGCACTGCCACTGGCGTGGGAAGTGCTACGCTGGCGCAAAGTATAAACGCAGCTAAAATAGTGCCGTGCCACGTCATCATTACTTCGTAGAAAACAATGACATGAAACATTCTATACATAATACATGAAAAATACTATTAATGAACAGCTATCTATTTTCCGGACTATAGAACGCATCCCGAGGCGGAGGAGGTGTAGTGACAAGTGGCGCGCTTGCCACTCGCGCGGTCCTAGGTTCGAATCCCAGGTCGATACCAACTAGGCCTTCTAATCTCCAGGGACGGTGAACTGGTACCAGATTCGTCTGGGAGGAAAAGAACACTGACTTGTACATCAGCTGGCCCCGAAAGTCATTGTATAGGCCATTCAATAAGCCACTACGATTCTGAATGGAAGTAGAATGCGTGCCGCATCCCACAAAGGGGTTGACTAACGGCAAAGACTTTATCCATTTATCCTTTATAGAACGCATTTCGCAGCCCAACCTGGCAACGTGCGCGAGACGTTGGTAGGCATAGCAACAGTTTTTCTATACCTTTTTTGCATCGCTTATCTCTCAGTAAGTTTTCAAATAAAGGATAAAGTCTTCCCCTTGATCAAACCCTTCGTCGGATGCGGCACGCACTCTATCCACTGAACTTGCGGGGACAAGCCCTTAGAAGTCAGTGTTCTTATCCTCCCAGACGAACGTGGTACCAATCCACCGTCCTCGGGGTAGAGGGCTCGGTTAGCCTGGGCGGAAGTCGACAGGGGATCTGAACCCTGCACCGCGCGAGTAGTACTTGTCACTACACCACCTCCGCTTCAGTTTTTCAAATACTCCTTATTAGATATAGATCACTTAAATGGATAAGAACAAACGAAAAAAGCACAAAGTTTAAGTCAAAGAGGAAGAAGGATTCGTGGCGCTCGAAGTGAAGGTGCGCCCTGTATATGAGTGCGCTCCGTGATCCATAAAACAAGATTAATTTGATATTTTTAGCAATAGGATAATAGGGATATTGGTATTGCTAAGAGGCTCAAGACCAAAATGCAATTTTTCCGGGCATGACGTTCGCGCACTGTGAAGCCGACGTGCCCATTATGAGCGGCTGCGTCTTCTATTGCCCATGATAGTGTACTTATTTGTGGTATCTGTTTTGTCTTGCTACTGGTACTCTTGAAAAGTTGCGTGGTGCAAATGTTCCCCCAGGTGCTGAGTGTTGAGCATTACCTAAGACCTAGAGGGAAATCTCGAAATTTCCGACAAAAACGTGCCCCTCGAAAGGAACAAGTTCTGGATTAGGTCCCCGGTAACAAGAGCAATTTACCCGTAACTCAACACCTCGGGATAACATCATTCTATGACACTTTCGGTTTCTCTGTTGGGTCTTACGAAGGAAAATGAAGCGACCTGTGAACATAACGATGGGGA